TTGGACAGCACTCTCACCTTTTCACAGCTCCATCCTACACTTAGTCCTACACTGCCATCTAGAGGAAGACCTTTGGGTAACACTTTATTTTGCAGTGACCTTTTTTACATGAACAATGGAGAGAGCAGTTACATGGTTCACAATATGTGGGTTATTTCTGTTATGACAGTTACATTGTGTCAAGATAAGACAAGTTACAGACTAGAGCCTGAGATTTTTTGGTCATATTTTTATATTAAAATGTAGGGATTTTTAAATCATTTGTCATCCTATTTTATCCTATCTGTACTAAAACCTGAACACATATGCTTTTACATTAGTTAAATTTTTAGGTTATTTCTTATTCTAAATTGACATTGTCTTATAATCAAAGCACCCCAAATAAAGTATATTTCCCAAATATCACCCCAGTAATGGAAACTAGGTCATAAGAAAATATTGCAAGACAGCAACAGTAAAGGGTTATTTTTGAGCTCATTGTACTTGTAACAGTCTTATTATGTCTGTCAGTTCATCAGGGTAGAGGAACAGAGCTCTTGGCAGAGAATTTGCAGTGAGGAGAACTGACACTTCATAAACTCAGATGCTAGAAGGCTCCTGATAAAGTCCAAAATGAATGGAGCTCTATGGGGCTTTTGTGCACAGTTTATTCAGACAAATACTCATTTTCTCAACAGGGAACAACATAAAGTGTTTCGGCAGTGCTGTCATTTTTTTAGATGTTGTTTAACTCCAGTTGCGGGACTTTCTAACAGTGCCTAATTTAAACTCATGACATCAGTGAGTGCAAAACACTTTACCCATCCAATGAGCTGAGAGAATTCACCATGTTTTTGACTAATTACTCATGTGAAGGATGCATGTACAAATTAGAAGTTTGATTAAATGGAGATAAGCACCATGAAATGGCCTAGTTAAATTAGTCTTCTTAAGCAGCTATAATGTGATGATAACAATGTATTTACACACTTGGAGAAAACAGGAAGCTGATTACCTGAAGATCAATATTGATTAATTTTATTGCTTGTTACTGACACACATTTCACGCTTTAGTAAACCCCATGTAATGACAGGTAAGAGTGATGATACAGCATTTTTTAAATAAAAAAAAATTCAATATTTACAGTTTAGCAAATATTGTAAAAATATGAAACTGCATTTCTCACCTCATAATCTTGTTTATTTGAATGTCTTTTCTTTCTGTTGTTCCTGATGGACGAAAGAATGAATACATTCTAATTACTCTGACAATCTATATTTATTTAGATATTACTAATAAACCCAAACAAGTTATTTTGTTAAATTGTAGGAAGATTTGTGTTTCATTTTCCTGACCTGCAGATGCAGATTAAGACAGTAATGAGGACACAGATTCCTCCTCCCACTGCAATCGAAACTGCAGACAAACTCTGACCTGCAGAAAATAGGATCATTTCCATCACTTTAGAGGCCTTATTTTAAATGTGGACACTGAAATATGATGTATATGTATTATTATTCACCACCCATTCTTAACAGTGACCATCACGGTTCCATTCTGAGCTCCATGTTCATTCTGAGCTACACAGTAGTACAGTCCAGTGTGGTCAGCAGTGATGTTGATGATGCTGTAATTCTGTCCCGATCCTACAGGTGAGGTTCCACCTTCTTTAAACCAGGTGTAGTTCTTCACAGCTGGGTTTGTATCACTGCTGCAGGTCAGATTCACTGAACTGCCCTCCACTATTTCACCAGAGGGACTGATGGACACTGAGACGCTCTTTGGAGGATCTACAGTAGACAAGAAAAAGATATTTATTTCGAGTTTCACAAAGTTAAATAAAAGCAATTAATATGTTGGGAAACTTACACAGAGCATTTAAATACACAGCAGTGGATCTTCTCTCTCCATGTTCATTCCGACTCTGGCATGTGTATTCTCCACTGTCCTCAGATCTGATGTTGGGAATGCTGTAGGTTTTTCTTTTCCTACTGATGTTGATCCCTTAAACCAGGTGTAGATCTTCACAGGTGGGTTTGCATCACTGCTGCAGGTCAGAGTCACTGAACTGCCCTCCACTATTTCACCAGAGGGACTGATGGACACTGAGACGCTCTTTGGGGAATCTAGACAAAATTAAATAATCAGTTGATTTGTGTTTGCAGGTTAACATATTATTAAACCTAGAACATTTATTACATATTTAATATCTTCTTAAATGTATGCAAACAATGCTCTTAAATAAGACAAGAAGCCATTAACCAAGCCCAGAAAGTCCTATGTTTTACTTTGTGGAAAAAAAAAAGAGATGACTCACATCTAACACTGAGGTTGTGAGCAGTAGAGTGGAGATGTTGATATCCTCTTACAGCACAGCTATAACTGCCTGCATCCTCACTGCTGACTGTCTGCAGGTGGAGCTGGTTGTTCTTGATGGTCTTTGTGGTTAAAGGATGTCTGTTTTTGTACCAGACGAATGCTGGGTCAGTCAGACTGCAGGTGGTTTTACATGTCAGATCTGCTGTTTCTCCCTCTGTCACTTCTTCAGGAGTTTCCACATGGAGCTCTAAGACAATAAGAGGACCATCAGATTAAAAGAGTAAAGCTGTAAAGACAGTGAACCTCATTCATCAAAGTTAGAAATGAGTTAAGTTAACTAAACTGAAAGATTTTTGATCTCTGCTGTTCATTCAAAAAACTGTTGTATATCAAAACAAGCAGTGATTTGGGTCTTCATAGAAACAAGCGTGAAGCTTATTTACATATCAGTTGCACAAATTAGCTCTCATAAATACATAAAATAACTGAAGTTTGTCCTGCAGATATATAGTTTATATAACAGTATACTATATGTGAATCAATATAACAAAAATATTCAACAGCTCATTAATCATAAGTGTAGTCTGTGGTCGAGCAGTAAAAGCTTTGAAACTGCAATGATTTAAAAGAATAAAATATGAAATGAACAAAATGTATCCCTTGTTAGGGAACCAGCCTTGTGACCAGAAGGTCGCCGGTTCAATCCCCTTGGCTGACAGTACATGACTGAAGTGCCCTTGAGCAAGACACCTAACTCCCAACTGCTCCCCGAGCACTGTGGATAGGGCTGCCCACCACTCTGGGCAAGTGTGCTCACTGCCCCCTAGTGTGTTTGCTCACTAGTGTGCATGTATGTGGGTGTTTCACTGCACAGAGGTCTAATTCCTCTGTGTGCAAAACACAGTTGGCTAATGGTTCTGAATTATATTCTATTCTGTTAACTGTTTTGTATTGACTGGCAGTACATATTACTCAAATACTAATTAGTACTGAGCTCATTTTCAGGTGTGACCTTTTTCATATTTGATGAAAAAAGGCCAAAGAAAAGCACATGAAAACCACTTTTTTTGGAATAATTTAAAACATATCCTTTTCATTGTGTAATACTTTCATTATAAATAGAGAAACAGAAGTAGATTTTAAAAATTTTAAAAATATGTAAATCTTCTTCGGTAAAGTAACCATGACCATGTTCCAGCAGCAACAATGTGTGTTATTTATAAAATTTGATGAATAATTTCTCTTAATGTTCAAATCAATATCTAAATAATAAAACTGTTTTGAAAGGATTAGTGTTTGTTTGTTTTTTTATGATTTGATGTGGAGAGGGTCAAAAAGAAAATGAGCAGATAAACTGAATCAGGTGTACGAACAGATAAAATGATGTAGGAGTGAATCAGAATGGAAGCTGAACATCATTACAGCAGATTAATAAAATCAGTGATGAAAAAACAGCATGAATATTCAGAGCAGACATGAATAAGAAACATTACTCTGAAACCAGAGCTGTGTCTTATAGCTGGACAATGGGATGATTAACTCACCTGTAACTCTGAGCTGAACTCCAGGAACTCCCACCCATTTTTCTTTTTCTACATTTGTTTTAATTCTGAAGCAGTACTGATGTTCATCCTTCTTCGTTACATCACTCAGTTTGAGGGAGAAGTGTTTCTGTTCATCAGTTAAATACTCGACTCTGCCTGAATAATCTGGGTCTTTACTCAGATCAGGTATCTTATCTGGGTCTATAGTCCAAAAAGTCTCTGTCACTGTAAGATGTTCTGGGTGAGTATAAGTTCCATTCATAAACACTGTGGATCCATTTAAAGCACATATTTCCTGTTGTTTGTACTTCACACTCCACTCTGTTCCAAAAGCTCCTGAAACATACGATGCATGAAAGAGCTGATTACAGAGTCTGGAGCCCATAAGACAGTCAGAGTTACTGTAGCTTACAGCTTCACTTCTCTCCTCTCGAACTCCAGCAGCTCCTCTACAACACTGAGCTGATTCTGAGAGAAACCACAAACCACAACAAACACTGACTCACCAACGGTCATGAGGAGAAAGATCAGAGGAAGAGGAGGAGCCATTCTCAATGACCTCATCACAGCAGCCTGGAGGATATTTTTAGTTAATGACAGTTAAATTAAATGTTTCTACATCTTCATCCAAAGTCGTTAAAAAGTCCAAAACTTTAAATGCTGACTCCATAAATAAGTCTGTGTTTTGTTGAATCATTTCATTTTTGATAACTGTGTTATGGTAACCTGATTGAGGAACAAGAACTTATTACATTTTGAAAACTGTGATTAAAGTGACATTTCTGAGCATTTATGACCAGCAGGTTTTTCACAAGGGAAGGTCTATACTGAGCAACATGGATCACCTTCTTCATTCAGAGCTGTTCTCCCCCCACACTGTAGGTTTAAGGCATCTCATTAGGTTCCTCAAACAAAAACAGAACTTAGCAAACATTTTGTTTGCAAAATACTTGTTTACATTACTTCTTAAGCTTCATGTGATCATATACAGTATGTTCTCAGACGTTCCCCCAAAACAATCCCACAGGAGGCAAAGATAAACTGTACTTCTTTGAAACTGAAATGGTAGAAACATCAGTCTAAACACAAATAGCTAAATTTGTCCTGTATCTTTTTCATAAACTATTAAAATATTCTAAATCAAACATACATCTTACCGTTCTGTAACGAGGCTCCTCTTCAACATCCATGCGATAAATGGTGAGAACAGAGACAGAACTGAAATGTAAAACTAGATGTGGTTAAAAGATAAGTAGACAGATGAAACTACCAGAGTTATATGTGGTCATCTTAGCTGCAGCAAGAGATAAACTTAACCTTAAACTGCAAGATGCAAAATTATCTCTCAGTGAAACTATAATGTCTTTTAGATGTTTATTAAGTTTTTTAATAGTATGCATGTACTGATGTAGGACCAGTTCCTAATCTTCCCCTGCTACTCTATGAAGCAGTAATGATCACTTATGTGTTTATCAGTGCTGATCTCAGTACAGTGTTACCCAGCTGATAGAATAAACATCATCAGATCATCTGAAGAACAGAGTGACTGATCTGCTGCATGTTTCAGGACTGTTTTTAAGGGATATTTCATTACTATATGAAATGTTTTAGATGAGACCTCGGATGGGTGAAATTGATTGGTGTGTATCTGCACTTTGTGGTTCTGTGTTATGTGCTGCTGTTTTGTGATGCACTGTGTGGTCTGAAGAATAACTTTTACATTAATAACATAAAACTAGTGGACATGTATATTTTAAAAGTGAATTTGTGTCTGCATGTTCCTGTGGCCTGTTTGTAGTATCAAGCTTGGCTGCTGCTGCTGCTGGGGCTCTCATAGCATGTCTGAGGTTACAGAGAGGGCACAGTTATACGTGTCATGATTTTAGCCTGGCCAGGTGCTCAGAGGCCACATCTGGGTGTAAATGATGTCATTTCCTCTGAAAGTATGAGATGAACAACAACAGCAATAGCACATATTTTCTGCATTCTACTTTTAGAACTGAACTCATGATGATAGGAGTCTGACATGCTGATTAACTTAATGAATCGTTGTTGTCTATAGTTACTGACTTTCAAAGGGGATCTTTGTTTTCAGGACATAGTTTATGCTAATAAGTAGGAGCCCAACCCTGTTCCTGGAAATCTACCACCAGTTTAGTTTAATTTCAGTGCACCTGGCTCTGACATCAAGATGCTCCTGAAGGCCTTGATTACATGGATTGGAATTTTGTTACATTATCCTGTAATAATAATAATAATAGCTTGGTCATCTGAGTGGGACACAGGGAAGCTGTGGAGCCCTTCAGTGGCCTGGCACAGAAAGAGCAGCTCTAGGAGCCAGCACAGAAGAAGCAGTCCTAAAAGCCGACACTGAAAAAGGACAGGGAGCCACCACTACAGCAGCAGCTGCTCTGGAAGCCAGCACATGAGCTGCACAGGGAACCTCCACTGGATATGCAACAGCTCGTGACGCCAGCAATGGATCAGGAGAGGGAGCCGCACAAGGACCACCACTAGAGCAACCTGGAGGACTAAAACAGGAGCCCTGTGTAAGCAGGCTCTGGAACCCTATATGGAGCCAGACCAGTCAAGCACTGGAGTGGCCCAGGAAGCGTAAACTGAAGTGAAACAGGAGCCTGGGAGCTGAAAGTGGATCCATCCAGAGAGCAGGAACTGGAGCTGTCCAGGGAGCCAAACATGAGATTCAGCTCCAGTAGTAGTTACCACCCCAGAAGAAGAACTTTGAGGAGCCCCCACAAAAAAAGGAGGACCTGGGAGCCACTAGAGGCAAGGTAACTTGGGGTGGCAGGTAAGGGCAGGTGTCTATTGACCATTGCTTGTACCCTTAAGGGTGCCACCCCATGGACAAGATCCAATAGATCCAGATCCAGTTCAATACCTTTTTTACCTTTCAGTACCTTTCTGAGACTGTATAGTGTCAGTAGAAAGCCATCATTATTCTACAGAGAAAAAAAAAAAATAATAAAAAAAAAACATGACCTGCTGATGACCTTTCAGAAAGCAGGTCCAGATCTCACTCTGTTGTTCAGATCTGATCAAGTTTATTCTCATCGACTTGTTAATACTGTACTGAGATCAGCACTGATAAACCCACCAATGATAAATACTAAACACTGCTTCATACAGTGACAGGAGAAAAGATGGAACTAGATAAATTATGCTGGACCATACTCTGCACAGTTTGGTGAGGTCAGCAATATGCAGACATGTAGGGTGAGAGACCTTGAGGTCAGCAGGTTTAAAAGCATTAAAAGCATTTTTAGATAGATTTGTGTGAACTACAGACTATGCATGTACTGTATGTATGTATGTATGTATGTATGTATGTATCTGTATTTTAACTAACATCTGAATATCTTCTTCTCCACCATGTTGGCCTGACAGCTGTAAACAAACCCATCCACTCTGAATGGTCCTAGACTTTATCTCAAGGAATTGTGGGAATGCAGGTGAGGATCAATCAGAGTAGATAGGTTTGTTTACAACTATCAAATAAACATGGTGACGATAATCACATGAGGACTGTATAAACACTGAAATGCGCAAATATATGCACCAGAGATAAAAACCCAGAATTAGTGACAGGTGGTCCTCTGATGAGAATCAGCGAGTAGATCATGGAAAATGAAAGCCAACAGAAGCCCCTGGTCTAGCCATGTGCACTGGACTCTAACAGGAGGGGGAGTTTATGACACATATGACATCTTTATGGCACAGTTATGTCAATGTAATGTAGCAGGTTGTAGTAAAGTGGTAGCTCCACTCCCAATCCCTGATAATTAATCTGAGATAGGCCTTAAGCCTCCCATGAGAACATGAGAACACACAAACAGAGGAGGAGTGGATAGACTGAGGGAGTAAATGCCAGAATGAGACTTGAGGACAGATAATTTAACCTTGACATTTTTTCCTCTATTCACTGCCCTGCAGATTAAAATCCCTCAAATTGATATTAAGGATTAATGTGTATCTGATTCACTTTGATGTTTGATCTTTGGCAGTGTATTCGTCAGTGTTTTCCACAAGTGTCTATAAGCTGGTATCTGTAATATCAGCCAGGCTTTGCTGCTGCTGCTGCAAAAAGATGTTTTATCCTGATTCAGAATCAGTGTCCTGCACTCTAATAACTACTATCACTATTAGACTGAAAACACTGAAAACACTGAAACTGATCTCAGATCATCTTCTACTCACAATGGCAAATGCAGTCAGGAGGAAGTGGCTAACTGGTTACTAAGATGCTCAACTGTGGTTCCCTAAAACAGACCAAATTAGTGGATTTAATAGAAGTGAAAAGAGAGAGAGAGAGAGAGAGAGAGAGAGAGAGAGATGGGTGGGCCTCTGTCATTTCAGGAAGTCTTAAAGCTCTTGTGATAACCTTAAGTGTCATGTATAAGAACACTACTCACTTTGTCAGGTATAAACTGACCTGTTAGATGTTTTAATCATGACCATCATCTGGATCATCATCTTCATTCTGACGCCTGGTGAGTTTTTCCTCTCACATCTGTGTTGAGTTTAAGATCTTTACAAGCTCAGAAACACACAGTGTGTTAGATCAGTGACTGATAAAGAACAGAATATTTCCTCTTTCTCTCACTCATATTTATCACTGTTACTGTCTTAGTGAGACGTTTCTGTGTAGAGTTTGTCACTCGTGTTCTACAGCTGACTTTTCACACTAAACAGTCCTGAGTAACGTCTCAGCCTCAGAGTTTGTTTAGTACTCCCTTATACAACATGTTCTCTTTTACAGCTGGAATCAGTGCTGTAACTACTGTAACTGGACACAGAGGACATTCAGTTCAGATTAAATGCCCCTATGATTCTGGATATGAGACCAACATAAAGTATCTCTGCAGAGGAAAATGTTCTACTCTGCCTTGGGGAACTAAAGACATTCCTGTTCAGTCTGGATCTGCTGAAGATCAGAGATTCTCTCTGGATGATGACACAGCAGCCAGAGTCTTCACCATCACCATCACTGATCTGAGAACAGAGGATGGAGGAACATACTGGTGTGGGATACAGATGTCTTTTCTAATTCCTGATATTTACAAAGAAATTCTATTACTGGTTAAAACTGGTGAGTGACAGACGGTTCAGACTGATATCAGTGGTTGTCTCTATTTCTTTTCTTTATATATCGGTGTCTTTCACTCCACATATTCTCCACCATCAGTGCAGACACAATCTACACCTCTTCCTCCTTTTCTCCCTACAGGTATGAGTTCTATGTCTGATCTTTTACCTGTGTTTGATTGAATTAAGGCACTTGTTCTGTCTCTCTGAATTGTTCCTGTATAATAATCTTTTAAGAAAGAATGACTGAATCAAATGACCTGATCTGAGCTTATAGTTCTGAACTATACTACATTTCTGAACTATACACTTATTCAGTTATTAGTATTATGTACAAAAACATTAATTGAGTAACTCGTTTTTAAACTGTGAACAATTCTATTTTTAACATTAGATATGCTAATGAATTAGTGTTTGTCTGTGCAATTCTATTCAGACATCCTTCATTAGAGGTTACATTGATAAAGAGGAGTTTATTTACTCTGTATAAATGACTTCATTACATATTACACTACTACACAAAGAAATATCTAGTGCTCATGTATAGCTCAATTTTAATCTATTCAAATTAAAGGAAAATTGCACAATTGTTTTCTACATTTCTGTATAGTTTATTCATTAAGAAGAAAGTCATTCAGAGTGGATTGATGTGAAATGGTTCATTATAGAGAAACTCACAGACTCTGATTTCTTTATAGTGGTGGTGACAGAAATCAGGGGTCACAATGTCCAAAACAAAATATAGTCATTTTATTTACTATCTAAAGCCAATTTTGAATGTGTGTCTTCTTCTGTAATGTTCATAATGATAAAATAGCAGTAAATCTGATATATTCCATTTTTTCTTATATTTTTTCTTATATTTTTTTATATAAAATTTACAATATTATCTCATCTACATCTACATAAATACATGGAAATGTACTAACTAGTCATCATTAACATATTTTAATAGATGTCTATAGTTCTTAAATAAAATACCAGATCTTTTCAACTTGTAGGAAGTGATTTTAAAGAAAAGAAACAAAATACAACAGAGGACAGTATTAATAGCACCCTTTCCTAATATTTATCACAGCT